ATGGTGAACAGCGTAAAATCGAAACATTTTTGAAGCGTTACGAAAAATGGCGAAAAAGGCGACTACCGGCCTAGTATAGTCGGCCTGTCATTAGCAAGAGGAAGGAACTTCAGAAGTTCACTTAAGTTTTCTTTGCGTTCATTAGTTTGTAAAGCGGATTCATCAATTTTGTGTCTTTTTCCTTGTGCAACATTCCCATATTCTTCGTTTCAGCTTTTTTTCTGTCTTTTGTTTACCCACACTCCATTTGTGCGTATACCGTTCGAAGTACACCTTTACACTGTGACAAAGCGCTCACTCTTTGTGTTTTTTCCTCCTTTCGATGATCCCAGCAGATTCTAAGAGCAGCAAGGCCATTACGGTCGTTGCATTCACTCAAATGCGCTTGCCTGCAGAGACCTGCTATGTCGCGTTGCTCTGTCGCGATGTAAGCTTGTAGATTTTTGCCTTTTTGAAATTATAATGAAGGATTTCAGCGTTAGTTTTCTTTATGGCCTTTTTAAATTCATCTTTGGCGTTATTTTCCTTGCTCGCTATAGAAAATTTCATGTGGCGAAACATATGTATTTTAAGTATGGTAGAATTATGCTCAATTTGCTTGAGCTTTCTGAATGTTCCTCTTGCACATTAATTGAATCTGTGATAACTTCACGGACGTATGCGCCCACTCTCGCCAATCAACGCCTTCTGGCTGATGTCATGTTCATCCTTTAGAACTTTTTAATTTAGTAGTTATGGTGTTTTATTACCTTGAAATTTGCAAGTTGGCATTTGCTGAACATTTTTATAACAGTTTAGTTACAGATTGCCGCCACTTAAAAATATGGAGGGTTCCAGTCGAAGGTGTTAATGTGCTTGAAAAAGTACTTTACATCATTTGGGCTTGTTGACATGCTAAATTTTTTATATCATTTTGCAGAATTTCTATAGGAGGATGAACAGATGTGTCATAGTAGCTAGGAAGTGTATAGTTGTAGTCGATTTTTGAACTCCCAATTTTATTGCTCCTTTTTTCTTGCGTCTTTCTTAGTATATTGTTTCATAAGTATGACCATGTCCTTTTTTTTAACAATTAAACGTTATGTAGGAGAAGTTTCTAATTTGTTTTTGATCTTTTCAACTTGGAACTTTTCTCTGTCTTTCTTCTTCTATTTCTCTCATCTTACTGCGCTGGATATTGTCAATAGGTTTTTTCTAGGTAAAATGCCACGAAAACGAAAGGGGAGACGTCGTCAGATGTATAGATACGATGAAGAAAATGGGCTCCTTGAGGTATTTACATTCGCCAATCTAGTTCCTTTTTGCTTCTGCCTTTATTTCAATGCCTTGACCATCATAATTCGTACAGCCCCTTGAAGCGACCTAATCATCTGTTATCACGCAAAGATTCCAGGAAATAGTCAAAGTAACTTCACCTCCTGGCAAAATCAAACTCGTTAATCATTATGTGCGACCAACTGAGCCTATAGCTGTGACTGATTGGAAATCTATCAATCGTACTTACTGTGTTGTTTGTCGAGTAAGTACTTTGTGTTTTGTTCCAAAAAATTCTAATTGCTAGGATGTGTCACCTAAGAGCTTTTAAAATGAAATATGATTAACCCGAGTTAGTATTTGTTTTTCGTGTTCTTTTTATCGATCCCTTATTTTAACCGTTTAACGATGTAAGTAGGTTTTTTTTAAAAGATTTAACTTTGATCTAAGGAGTGCTCTTACTTCTGTTGTTCATTCATCTGTAATGGTATATGGGTCAGTTATTTCAAGTTTAGTTTTAATGGTAGGATTGCGTTGAAACATTTGTGACGTCTACAAGAATACATCGAATATCTATTTATGTTCAGGAAGGAGGAGAGTTACTATGCTGTGATGCATGCCCAGCTTCTTTCCATCTTTTATGTCACGAACCAGTCATTCGACGAGAGGCAATACCTCGTGGTCGCTGGCTCTGTAACAGATGTCATCGTGCTGGAAGCAGCGTGACCTCGCGCAAACGCAACAGGGCTTCCGTAAGTCCCTACCTCATGGATTAGCTAAACTATCCTTTGAGTACTGTAGTGGAGTTAAAGTTGGTTAAATCTTGACTAACGCCCTTCTCCCACATGCTTCTGAGTTTTTGTCGC